CTGCACCATTCTTCCACATCTTGCCTCATATGTATACAGTAAAATCTCTGCTGCAGGTGACTCAATGTCATTTTAACTCCGAGATGTTCTCCTGTTAAACTATCATGGGATTGATGCAGCACAACTTCCCGTAACTTTCTTGGCATAACTGTTTGCCAGGTCGTCACTTTCCCATCTCCGGAGAAGACTACCATCTTCAAGCTTCAATTGGTCCCATTGTGCCCAATAGTTCTTTGTCACAGGATGTAACCTAGACACCTTCTCCCAAGCAGGGTGCAAAACACTTTCTTTTAGAAAATCAATTATTGGCTTCAAATCCTGGTCCCTCCTCTTCTGCTTTAATATCTATATTTGGTTCCACTTCACCATCATCAACTCCTATGGCCCGGCATGGCCAGGTGGTTAGGGAGCTCGACTCGCAATCTGAGGGTCGCTGGTTCGAATCCCCATTCCACCAAACATGCTCACCCTTTCAGCCGTGGGGGCATTACAATGTGACGGTCAATCCCACTATTCGTTGGTAAAAGAGTAGCCTAAAAGTTGGCGGTGGGTGGTGATGACTAGCTGCCTTCCCTCTAGTCTTACACTGCTAAATTAGGAACGGCTAGCACAGATAGCCCTCGTGTAGCTTTGCACATAATTCAAAAACAAAACAAACAATCATCAACTCCTTCAGTCACTTTGACTTCAGCTTGATGACACCTGGTTAGTTCAACCTCTCTTGTGCAGCAATGTCTGCAGTTATTTTTGCAAGGTCTTCGGCTCAGTCCATCAGCATTTCCATGAGATTTTCCCTTCTCTGTATTCAATATCATAATTATACTGGTTTATCTTTCCAATCCAACGTGTCAGTTGTCCCTCTGGGTTCTTTAATGATCTTAACCAGCGTAATGCAGCATAGTCTGTCCTGATGGTAAACCTGCACCATTCTTCCACATCTTGCCTCATATTTATCCAGTAAAATCTCTGCTGTAGGTGACTCAATGTGTTTTTAACTCCGAGATGTCCCCCTGAAGCATAGAGGCAAGAATGGAAATATGTCAGACTCTTTACTATAGCAAGGAGTTCCCTCCATGTTACACAGTAGTACCTCTCTGGTCTAATTAAACCCTACTGAAGTAGGCCACATCATGTTCGTTTTCGCCCACTTTCTGAGACAACACTTTTCCAATTCCGACATTACTAGCATCACAATCCAGTGTGTATGGCAGTGGGGAATTTGGG